CGCGCTGAGCCCCCGCTGCGCAGGTTTCTCGCTCAACGGCGAGCTGCTGATGGACGCCCTGGGCGGCGAGACGTCCTTCTCCGACGTGCAGGGCGAGGCGTTCGTGCCCGCGTGGACGCTGGGCGTCGGCCAGAAGGCCAAGCTCACCTTCGGCCAGGACGTCAACACCCTCAAGTTCTTCACCACGTGCGGCCTCCAGGAGGGCTACGAGCCCTTCTGCGTGTAAGTCCCCGCCCCGCACCGGCCCCACACCGGCCTTGGGCAACCCTCTTCTTGGCGATGAAATTCAAATATCTTTCGGGAAAGATCTCAGGTCTTCGTACATAATTCCGAATGAATAAATAAAAAATACGCCGGTCAGATGGCCGAGGTCATTAGGGCAGTAAAGCCATAGCGATCTCGGAACAGACGACTGCGGATTCCAGTCCCTGCATAGGGATGGGTGTATTTGTGTATGTCTCTATGTGTGTTATCCTTTCATCTCTATCATCACCATCATCATCTCATTTCTCCAGGGCTAACAACCTTGAGGGATAGAAATCTGGATTTAGCTAAACGCTGATTCCCCCCAGAAAGGTATTTGCGCCTGATAAAGCTGGATGCACGCGTGGTCCAAGTTGACCTATACGCGGGGAAAGAATGAAAAATACAATCAAGAAGACATATATATTCGTTATTAATTACCACGTGAACTAATTCCTCAACATACGATACACAAAATCACTACACTCTAATTTTTTTCATCCACATATCTCATTCTGTACTTCAGTGATTAATAAATTTGTGTATGGCATGATGTCATCGCTAAAAAATTGAAAAAAACACATTTGAATACATTTTTCATCCATGAAAGTCATTCCTATCATATCAGAGATGAAATGATTAGCAGAACAGAGGAGCTGAATTCGTCGTCACATGTGAATGTTAGTCCTCGACTTCCTGTTCCGTACGCTTTGCAGATCGCGTCTACTCGAAGGTTAAAATCTGAGGAAAACAGATCACTGTACTCATAACAATTGGCACTCGAAATAACTCTCTGTAAGTACAATTAATACTAATTAGAATGTTCTCAGTATTATTTACGTACGAAACAGATTCGTACGTTATCGTTCGAAACAAATAATGAGCGAGTCTCACGGAATTTACGAAACCAAGCACACCTCACAATTGCAACTTCTCTCCGTGGGAAAAGCTGGTTGTAACCGGAAAAAATCCCTCAAATATCGCGACCACTTATAGCCAGACTTTGGTTGCCAGCACTGAGTAGGACTCAAATTCACGATACTCCCGCGTTCTGTTGCAAATAGTAATAGTGTGACATGCATCTGTAAAGGTATCGTCCATGACTTCTTCGGTATAAATTGCAAGTACTCAGTGGTCGAGTAAATGTTTAATCGCTTTGAAAGTTTGTAACATTCTTTTTTTCATTTTTACTATATGAGATCGAAAAAATCCGACTTCGCCTTAATAATGATCATTATTGCGTATCTCTGATCTCATCAGTTACTATCATGTCGCCATTCTCTATCATTTCGCTTTGTTGATTATTTCGCCATTCTCTTTTATATGTCATCACCGTCCATCATCTTAACGTTTTCTATAACCTCACATTTCTTTGTTAAATCATCGTCCTCTATCCTCTCATTGTTCTTTATCCTCTCGTTCTCTTTCCCCTCATTCTCTATTATCTTGTTCGTTCTCTATAACCTTGTCACTGCCTCTCTCTATTGTCTTGTCTCTCGTGCGCAGGAACATGAAGCGCGCTGTGACGTACTGGTACACCAAGGACCAGCCCGTGTTCGAGAACACCGACGACATGGCGGACACGCGCATCGACGTGACGCGCATCCCGGCGGGCTCCGACTCGCCGCCCTGCCTCAAGATCTCGCACAACACCTTCGAGACCATGGAGAAGGCCAACTGGGAGTTCCTGCGCCTCTCGCTGCCCGTCACCTGCCACGCCTCCTTCGTCGAGTAAGTGCCCGCCCACGCCGAACAGACGAGGCCGTTCGCTCCCGAACGAAACAAAAACGGTCTTCTCTAGTTCCTTGGGTTTCGCCTGAAAGGGACATTTATTTTCATTGATTCAAAACGTTCATTCTATTTCGTGGTTGTTGAGCTCAGAATAGCTACGGACGGCGGTACTGCGACTGGGAGTCAGTGCTCTTGATTTTAGGATGTAGGTAAAATACTGCGATCTGGTAATTCATAACCGTTGCTCTTCCCGAGTATCGAAACTAGTTGGGGAAAAGGTTGGTTCTCGTATGGTCAAACCAAGGCAGATGTGATATCTGAAAATTTTAGTTTGAAATTAAGTATTGAATTGAAGGCTTTTAATTATTTGAAGATATTCAAGTGTGCAACTGCCTTAATCAAAATGTTTTTATATAAATTATAGTACTGCTATATTTTTCCTATCATTGGCTTTACCAGTTTAAGTCCCTAATTATTGTAAGTACCAAATTATTTGAAATGACATTATCAGCTCACAAGGAATATGGCACTACTGAAAAATATTTTCTTTATGGATCGTCATTATCTGAGAGGACCCTTTTATTTTGTCAAAATCACAGTTGATATTCCATATCGAGGTTATCTTACGAATTATCTTTACGGGAATTTACAAGTAGAAAATAAACTATTTTCGATGTATATATATTTATTTGTTAAATCAAAAAAATACAATATTTGTGATGTTTCCCATTCCCACGATGGGGATGGAAGCGCGGTCGATCGATGGGTGATTTTTCTTTTTGTAAGAAGAAAACACGTATATTCTATTGCACATTTCTTTATATAGAATGGGGGTGGATGGGTGACGCACTATATTAATGTCGCCTCAGGTCTTAGCAACTCTAACTTCGTGGTTGCTCTTAACTCTCCATGTCGTTGGTACATGATTGAGTGATATGATGCAAATATTTATATTGTGTGGGGTGTGCCGCAATGGCCCGGGTGTTAGTAAATGAAAAAAATATCGTTCTTGCGCCGAAGGTTGTTAGCAGGGTTGCCAGATGCTTCGTACAAACATCCGCCCACAAAGAAAAAATCAACATTCCAAGTGGAAAAATTGAATTTGCATTCAAATAATTTTATTAGAAGTTTTTTTGATATAGTGACCCTATGTAATACTTGATTCGTTTTATTTTTTATTCGTGAACATTATAATTAATAATAATATTTATATAAAACTTATACGTTTGTTAATAATCAGTTATTTCTTAAGATTTAAAAATTAGTTATGACTACAGCAGGTGAGAGGAATACTTTAAGGGATAAAATAATTTCCCCATTTTCCCAATTTTTACTCTCCTTGGTCCTCTTAAATATCCGCGCTTAAAAATATTACCACAGAAATGCTTGCATATGCATGCTTATTCCCTGTGGCTTAACGAAAAATCGTGGCAGAGAAACTGTACTTCCAAAGGCAAGTTCTAAAATTAAAAATACTGCGAATGTGATATATTATATACTCATTTTGTGCACTACAAAGAGTACGACTTTTAGAACTCACCCTATACTAGAGGTCTAAAAACCAACATTACTCACTTCTCAAAGTAAATATGAACGAATTAAGAAATGATTATTGGAAAATCATGTATAAAGTAAAACACTAAAAAATCAAATACACTGTCAACGTCGTCGTGGTTGTGTTTAAAAATTTCGTCGTAATCTGAAAACCTGCCCAAAATTCCACATGTTTTGGTACATTTCCACTCGTTGGGCGGTATTCCACGAAATCAATTTTTGTCCCGTGAGAGAGAGCAGTTTTCCAGTCCAAAAAGCGTCATTTCGCCCAATCTGGCAACCCTGGTCGTTAACACATGGTTGGGTTATGCTACACAACTGTAATAGAAGTGTTTAAGTTGATTTGTGAGTTGCTGACAACGCGTGCGTCGTTGGCGTTTCTTGAGCGTGCGTGCGCGCGTGCGTGCGTGTCGCAGGGAGGGGGAGAAGCTCCGGCGCTGGCAGGAGATCCGCATCCGACAGCACCGCCTCCTGGCGGAGGCCGACCAGACCACGCCCGCGCACCTCGAGCAGATCATGCGCTCGGGCTTCTCCATGAGCGACATCAAGGGTGAGTGGCTGACTCCTTCAACACTCGAACCGGGCCTGCAATTTACACTCAAGTACTACACCCGGGGTCGTTTTCGACCCCAAGCTCTACTGACAATTGGAAGTGGTACACACGAATGAGAACGGCAACACTGAGTGGAAATAATAGTTATTTAAATAAGTATAAATTTTAAAGTGAGTTTAAAAACAATAAATATAATTTATTCGTCTTAAATGTTTCATATAAAGATTAAACTCTACTGCACATAACCTCTATTGTTCATACATTATGATTCAGAAATATTTATAATAGTTTGTGAAAGTTATTTCGAAATAAATAAAATATTGACTGTATTTAGCACAGTTTTTGAAGTTCATGACAAGATATATCAACTGACAATTGGAAAACAACAAGTTATACCTTAGGTCAAACCAGTCATGTGTTACGAAAAGAAAATTAATAACTCTCGAATAAAATGTGCAATGTGCAAAAGTGCTTCACAAAATGCAGATGAAGATGGTCTGAGCGTATGTTTCTTATTTTAGTTGCTAAAGTCATAAATGTGTGTGACACCGTTGAGTAAAAAACGATATTACTTTTTTATATTCTAAATTAAACTATAAACAATACAGTAAAATCTGTCTAAACAATAACCTGTACAAGCCGGAAATTTCCAATACATTCACGTCCTATCTTTAACTCCTCACGCCAAGCAAACACGCGATTCTGTGAATTTTTGTATTGCCGAACTGTACAGTCAATCGTTACAAAATGTTGCTCCGATGTCATCACCTCTACCACTGAACAAGTCTGAGCACGTCACAGCTTGCTCTCCTTAATGAACACATCCCCATCACAACTCCCTAGCGGAGACCACTCGCTGCATTCGAAGTTAAGAGCGGAGAGTGAAAAATCTCGTTTAAATTTGTTTCACCTTCTCACTCAATCCTCTTGTACGCTCGAAAATAAATTTTACAAATTTTTGGCCATGTAGAGCGGGAAGCTAATATGATCACTTTTTGCCAATACATATGGCAGGACGTTTCATATCACAAAGTTATACATGTGACAACAGCCCTTGTCACTAGTAGTTCATGTTGCACGAAATTGTTTTTACTGTGACAGAACCTTTTCTAGAACCTGAGAAACTGTTCTTCCAAACATGAGGATATGCTGAGTTGTCTACTTGTCAGAAGCAATTGTCACATGTGTAACATCGTTGTTTACCACATATTTATTGGCACAAAGTAATCAATCTCTCCCTCATATGTATTTAAAACATCTGTATAAAATTAGAAATTGAAACTGAAACGAAAATAACTATTTGAAAATGATATTAACACTTTAGTTACCATTTTATGGTATAAATATAAATGACTAAATATCGCTGTAAAGAGGATTGGTCTTCCCCTCCTGAGCAAATGACCCCAGTACTTTTTGCTTATGCACGCAAACATAGCTTCACTATCTGCGCATGTTTTCGTGATCTCTATGAATTCTTTGTAGGGGTTATGGTGTGAACAGTACCATCAAATAATCGTTCTCCATTTTCTTGAGGTAGTGAGAAACATAACCTCGATGAGGGAAAAGAGATAAAATCCGTAGCTCCATTCTCGAAGCAATGATTTTTAGCGCACAGGAATGAATATTTCTTAATAAAGGTGTGTCCAAACCTCTCATTAATACCATCAGTATTAATTCAGGTTAATATAGCATAAGAGAAACGTCAAGAAATTTGAAGTTCAAGAAAACGTGCACATGTCGCATTTCTTCCCTATACGTCACACGAAGATTAAAACTGTATTTGACACTAAAACGTAAATGATTTCACTTCCAAATCATGATTATGGGTCAGTTTGAGAGCTTCATATTTGGTCATCGGCACTCTGCTGAACTGATACCATGGTTCACATGCTACGATGTGTGTGACACGCCTTCAAATACTCAGGGCATTCAAGCGCTTCTCAACTTCACTGATCAAAGGGACACACGCACTTTGAAACCCGAAATACACTTGCAGGACGGGACAACATGCCACGAAAGAAGGTTCAGGTCATTGGCATTTTGTTAATATGGAATTTTGCAACTGTTAATTTTCGGATAACTAATGTCTTTATTTTCAAATTCAGAGAGAAAGGAAGAGAATGAAACAGATAGAGAGAATGAGGGAAATGGAAAGAGAGTAGGTAGTTGTATATAAGTTGTCATAAATGGTCGAATCAGTATTGTAGGGTTTTCAACGACTCCAATCATAAATACATTATACATTTTCTATTTATTTACAAAACAATTTACATGCACAAATATCATTTAAAATTTGAATTGAGCGCACTAGCTTATTTTATATCAGAATTTATGAACATAGAAGAACCATGATTTTAAATTTTTGGTCAAGTGACAGCCTTTGTAGTTGTTTAATAAAACTTAGGAGATCGCGGATATGTTCGATTTTGACGATTTCACGGCCCATTAATAGACGAATATCTTCTCCCTATGTTCTTTACAAAATTTGTTACAAAAAAGTTATTTAATAACTTTGTTATTAGTTTGTGTTGATATAAACGTGTTTCTACGAAAGTGGTTTACTTAATTTAGAAACAGGATTAAAAAGAGAAAAAAACTTCGATGCTGCATAAATAAATTACTGCAGCAGTGGATTTATCCCAAATATTAAGAGTAAAATGTTAGTTTTAAAAGAACGATATAATATTTATACCATTAGATAAGAGTATTCACAAATGGTAATTATTTCAGAAGTAAAAACAAGCAAATTTTGCAAACAATGTTGCCCAAATATTTTCAACAGTTTCGATGTCGTGTTCTGCGAGTTGGAGAACTTTGTTGAATCTCGATGTAAAGTTGTTGGCATACTTCATGTCACTAGTAGTTTATCTTCAAGTACATTTACGAGATATAACGCTTCTTGAAACTTTGTTGCATTTACTCGAGAGTAGGAAACTCTGACTTTCTTAAAGAACAATGTGGATGTTATAATGGTTGGTAAAGTATGAAGCATTCAGCTGCTGTATTATATTTTTTCGGCTTTAATTTTTAATGTTATATGTACATGTTCTTCAAAGTGTGAAGAGATATGTTACCGAGAATTTAAATAATAAATATTAGTATCTAATTCGGATTGATTCTTTCAGTGAAACAAATTAAATACATACATAGGTATTTCATGGTTGTGCGAACAATTAGTCAATTTTATTTTTAATTTACAAAATGAAACATTTTCTGCTTCTTAGACTGAATCGATATTTTAAATAACGATTTAGAGATACGAATGAGCACATCAAAAGACGAACCATGTACTCGCATACAATATTAAAAACTAGATTTATTTACCAAGTCTACGCAGTACTGATGTGTAAGAGTTGAAGCATCTTTTCAAATGGAAAATGTTATAAAACATCAAAATAGAAAAACTATGTGCTTTTCTGTCCTTGTCTGTATTAGCGAGTAAACTTCCCAATGAAAAATCAGTGATTCTATGACTAATTAAATGGGATAACAAAGGATCGCTGGGACAACTAATGTGCCACGCTTTGGAGTAGACACTTTGAGAAAGAATGCTCGATTTGAGCGAAATTTCGATATCAAACAATGTCTCAAGTTTTCGTACGTTCGTTCGAGAATGTAAGGACATCTCTGTCGCATAATTAGAGCAGGCATGCGTTTGTGTTCGAGCGGGACATTTTGGAGTGGGCGCTCGGATGAACAATGAGACATTAGGGATTGCTCAGTCAAACAAATTGCCACGGTGAATTGCGGCTGACCTGTCTTTGTTGCTGGATTACATAATTTCACCCTGCCTTGAGCGGTTGCACTAATAATTTGGATTCCTGACACCAAAATCGCCGCGTGGAATGAGAATGCGACTGCTTTGCTTCGCTAGGTCAATCGATCCGCAACATTTTGAGCGCGCATGAGTTTGAGCGGGGTGTGTGGGCCACGTCCTGAACGCGCGCGTCTGGATTACCACGTTCGAGCGCCGAGGCCCGAACACCACGTCTCGAATGACTCGTCTCGAGCAACGCGACTCGAGAGCTGCGTCCCAAGAGCCACGTTCCGAGCGCCACGTCCCGAAAGCTACGACTCGAGAGCCTCGTCTCGATCGCCACGTCTCGATCGCCACGTCTCGAGCGACGCGTCTCGAGCAACACGCCCCGAGCGCCGCGTCCCGAGCGCCGCGTCCCGAGCGCCGCGTCCCGAGCGCCGCGTACCGAGCGCCACGTCCCGAGCGCCGCGTCCCGAGCGCCGCGTCTCGACCGCCGCGTGTGGTGGCAGGGCTGCAGCGCGGCTACTCGGAGGACGCGGTTGAGGCGGACGAGCTGCTGGCGGAGGCGGAGGCGCGGGCGCGGGCGCCGTCGCGCCCCACGCGGCCGTCGCGCAAGGGCTCCATCCCGCGCAACGCCACCTTCGACGACGCCAACACGCTCGCCTCGTCGGGCGACCTGCTGTCGCCGGCCTCCGCCCACGTGCACCGCTCCACCTCCGACCTGGGGCTGGACCGCTTCGACGGCGAGGGCTCGCCCGGCCGCGACGCCGCCAAGGACGACAAGAAGAAGCGCGGGCGCTCGCCCTTCAGGTGCCACCCCCTTCCACACCCCTCTCTACACCCTCGCTACTCAACGTGCCTGAGTGCGCTTGGAACAAACACAAATATGGAAGTAAACTGTTTTGAAAGCTCACTTGCGGAAACTTCTAAGGCTGTCAAGCCTTGCATCTTTACGTTTCAATAAAATTAATTCTAACAACAAGAAATATGTGATTATAGATAGAATTTAAAACTTCCATATATAACCAAATATTAATTATACTTACACTGCATACACATACTTTAATTCCAAGTGTATTAAACTGCAAACAATTTCAAATTACTTTGCATTCAGGCATGCATGGGATGCGATGATGTAGAAATAGATACTTAATATAAATAACAGTAGTTACTTGTTCTACCAACATGTTCTGTCCACAAACTTAAAGTAAACAATAATTTGTTTGATCTGCGTTAGAAGAAAACACTACAAAAGGACAAAAGGACAATTTTTAAGAAAATATAAGTTTATAAAGCAGAGTCCTCGAGGAATATAAGAAAATATTTGATAATTGGTTGAATAAATGAACTACACTTTGAAAGTAGTTTTTTCCTAAAAGTTTTAAAATTTAGAATATTTTGGCAGTCAAAATTCAAAATATCCGAAAAAAATTAACTCATACACCGTCTTTTGCTGAACCTCACCTCTGTCAAGTGCTCTCAACTAACGGTGGCCAGTCCAATTCTTCATGAACGCTGATCAGAGAGAGAAGCTTTTTATTTTTCATTAACCCGATAAATATCAAATAGCTATCGCGGCAAATATTTGCAAACCAAAGCAAGGTTTTTAAACCAGAGGATTTGAACAAGGGCAATCTTGATTGAAAGTTTTTAAACCTTCAATAAAGATTGTTATTTGATTTATCGTCTGTGTGTTTTTCAATATTTTTCGTAATATCTTCTTAAAGGGAAAATATCGAATAAATAAGAAATTAAATTTATTACAATAAATGTAGTCATACTCCATGTTTACCTACAAATCGTTTCAACTGTTTGTACTGGACAGCGAGTTGTGAAATATATGACGGACGCTGTCCGTTAAGAATAGCTTTTCATTTCTCTGGTTTCATTAAGTCGGTGTAATAGAACAGAATTAAGAAAAATGCATACATGTCTCAGAATAAAAGTTTGTGATCTGGCGCAGAATTGTGGTTAAGGAGTTGCCTAAAAATCAGGGAAATGTCACATGTGTAACTCCATTATATGAAATTTTTCACATGTTCATGGGCAAAACGTGATAATTTTTTACCCCTCTACGTGATGTAGAAACTTTTTACTTTTCTAAAAAAAATGTTACTGATGTAACATCGTTCCGAGCTCTTCTTTGGCCTAAAACGTTAGGAGAATCCTCTTCAAACACCCATCAGTCATATGTCACGCCAACTCGTGAGTCGTTGCCTACATTGGCACCGTCAATATCCGGGTTTCCCAGACGGTCACCACCCAGGACCCCGCGTTGCCTCCGTGACTTGACGGAGCTTGGCTTCGAAGCACCGGCGCAAGCACTTATTCTGAGACATGCTCTATAACAGTTTTTCTATTGAGCGATTGTGTGTGTGGCAGGTTCTTCTCCCGCAAGCGCGAGCCGAGCGGCGACCGGCTGCGCAAGGGGCGGACGCCCGAGCCGCTGCTCAACGGGGAGGCGGCGCCGGGCGAGCGCGCGCGGGTGGGCGGCGTACGCACGCCCACGCGCGGCGCCCCGCAGCTGCGCGTCAGCGCGGTGAGCATGCGACAGCCACAAGGACAATTACGCACATGCGATGCCGCACAATGCTAGATGGAATGTGTTAGTTAATGACGCTGCCCTTCGCAGAGGTTTAACCTCGTTTGGGAAACTGCAAATTTTATCTACATTTTAAAATTGTATCCCTCCAGCTCCCCTCCAGCTCCCCTCCAGCTCCCCTCCAGCTCCCCTCCAGCTCCCCTCCAGCTCCCCTCCAACTCCCCTCCAGCTCCCCTCCAGCTCCCCTTCAGCTCCCCTCCAGCTCCACTCCAGCTCCACTCCAGCTCCACTCCATCGCTCCACCATCACTCCTCCGACGCCCCTCCGACGGCTTCCAATACCAATACACTTGAAAATTTCAATTCACTTTACTCTGTTGAAACTTTCAATTCACCTTTCATATTGATCTCCTTCGTTTATTTAATTTTCTCTATACTGTTGACTTAGAAACGAGTTTTTTGCCGTGTTTCTTTTGAGAAGGCGACGTAGTTGACAGTTTGGATGATTGGCGCTTGCTACTCGAATGGGAAGGGAGTTGACGTGCGAATAAGTTACGTGACCCGTAGGCGGAAGTTAGACACGGATAAAAGGTAACAAAGGTTTCGAAAAGATCAATTCTTTCTCACTTCACCTTTGTGCAAATGTCAAAAGAAAAATATCCGGAAGAGTTTTCAACAAAAGTAAAAATAATTAAATAAATAATCACTATAATTAAATTAATTGAACTATTAGTTGATTATGAAAATGTTGAAGGTGAAAGACATGAAAGTGAAATACTACCAATCATATTATTTATGAATTGTCAAAAATGTATGCGTCAGCATTAGTCGTAGACATTAACCACCATTACAAAATAAACGACTCCAAATGCTTAATTCATATTATTAACGTCCAAGCGTGTAGAAATCGCACGTCACTTGTAAGCAACGTCAGTGAAGTTTCGCAACGATTCTGTGGGCAATAACTCAAGTAAGATTGCGCTTCCAATTATTATGAAAGTTATGCAAACCAGTACTTAAAAACGGTGATTTTTAAGCAAATTTTAAGAGAAAATCTTAGAGAATAAATTTCATCAAAATGGGGATAGTATGCATGTTTAGCTAAATGAATACTTTTGTGGGTATTTATGAGAGAAGACTTTATCTAAATCGCTCCTACCTAGCGTAATTGCTGCTTTTAGACTCAAATGAAATTCAAACTTTTTTGGGGTATATGCACGAACTTCATCAATTTCTCCTTCCTGTAAAGCAGTGATTCACAATTGAGTAACACTTCTTAAGAGTTTTGCCAAACAAAACAAAAATTTTAAAGGTTATTCCAATGAATGTGAATATTTTTTACGCAGGTTAAATAGGATGACATCCAGCATCACTGTTTTTTTATCCGATAATATCCTATCCAAGATAATTGTAAGATAAACTCAGCCTCATAAGGACTGAGTACTCAGAATTAGATTTCCATTTCCTTTTTCATTGGGAGATCACTTCTGAGGGTTTTCTGCCCTCCTTCCGGCTGCCTTCTATCGTTCTGAGTGCCAGTTAACGACCGCCTGGGAACCCTTTCCAGTGAGTAGCCTTTGGTTTCTCGAGCATCAAGCCGATTTTGCCAGCATCAAGCCTACCTTTAAAATCACGTGCTTTTTAATCCAGCCAGAGGTAGCCCATGGTCTATCTCGATAGCTGCACCATTATTGCGGATGTAGAGAGACAGTTCCCTATTCACGCATACAAAGAGATCGCATAAAGATCACCCACACAGCTATCGTTAAGGCAAAGAATTAGTGAATGATTAGGGTGTATAAAGGAAATAAATGGGAATGAGTACCAAATATTAGTGTCGTGTTTAAAGCTTTTTTAGAGCTATAATGGAGAGAGGGCATGTGCTTGCTACAACATATTATCTAAAACCTGTTATCTTCATCCAATACCGAAGGCTTGAGGAAAGGTGTACCTCTAATCTACATCTACCAAAGAACGGAAGCGTGCAAGCTCATAGATCCTTGGCCCTTTTAAAATCAAATCAACCACCATAATATCTTTTGTCGTGGTGTCGTCAGTTATTTTCTGACTAAACTACTCGTTGGGAACGAAATACATGTACGAGTTTCTGTATTTTTCTTGTCAAATCGCGTCTTGTTGATTTTTTCGTTTTCCTACTCTTGTATTGCCATGCACACTCTCGTAGAGTTTTGAAGTGAAACGTTTCTTCAAAATAGCTCTACATACTGAATCACAGGAGCACAATGAATGGTGCATTGCTTTTTTTTAGCTCAACTACGTACCATAGCCGAACATTTGTGCCCCTTTTGAATTTCTCTTGGCAAAACCTACACGATAGAAAACATAGGACCCGAGAAATTAATGGCCTAAAAATGTTACCTGTTAGTTCCTATGTTGGCCGCCGGGACGCCTTGGAGCGCTATTGTGCAAACAAACAATTTCTGATTGACTTGTTACTCTGTTAATTGAAAGTGATGATGAAAAATGATTTATCAATTTTGACTAGAAAATGTGGAACAACTATCGTCGCAGTGTTTTGTAGACGATACTTTTTTCTCGATACGTCAATCAACTTCAATCGCTAATACATTATACATTCAGCTGTGGAAAACCCAGTGTTGCATTTTGTATTTCAAAGAAGACATGGATGGTAATGAAACTGATAAATTTTCATCGCATAATAGGATGCACTTGATAGGAGCGTTAACGAGGATGGAAAGTATTAATTTGCCCCTCGCAGGAACAAAATTCCTTTATTTTGGTGCATCATTTATGCTTTTGACTCTTGTAAATGTTGAAATCAAGGAAATCGGAAAGAAAAACTTTTCCCAGATAATTCTCAGAATTCATGCAGACTATGGTGCAAAAGCGTAGATGGGCTTCATTTAATTCCCAAATTTATGAGTTCGTCAATCGTGGGCTTCTCTGGTGCTGGTTTTTCTCCTTGCCATGTATGATTGATTTAATTTCTCATTATTAAACGCCGCCCAGGCGCAATTTGTCAATTTACACCTAAAACATCAATAAGTCTGATCTGAACAAATTGATGATGTGCTAGACAATCTGGGGTCGTGTAATCTCATTAAATAACTCCATAAACGATTTGTGCTAGACAGTCTGAAGGGATAATAAGTCCTTTAAATAGCTTCATAAACTGATTGTGAGTGGCAACTCAATTGATTCTGGCAACTTTAAGGACCCCTAACTAAAATAAATATCGTTATAAATAGATTGTGTGCTAGGGGGCCTGAAAGGATCATAACCCCATTAAATATCTTCATTAATTGATTTGTGTGGCAGCTCGATTGATTGTGGCAACTGGAAGGGCCCCTAACTCCAAATAAATAACTTCATAAACTGATTGGGTGCTAGGAGGTCTGGAGGGTCTCTAAACTTAAAAGAAATGAGCCAATGCCCTGATTGTGTGTTAGTTGACCTGAAGGACCCCTGGGGTCCCAAATAAATATCGTCATAAATAGATAGTGTGCTAGGAGGCTTGAAGGGATCATAACCCTATTAAATAGCTTCATACACTGATTGTGTGTGGCAGCTCAATTGATTGTGGTAACTCGAAGGAACCCAAATAAATATCGTCATAAACTGGTTGTGTGCTAGGCGGCCTGGAGGGTGCCTAAACCCAAACGAAGCGAGCGAGCGCGCGGTTTGCGTGGCAAGCGGCCTGAAGGGCTCCTAACCCGGAATAAACAACTTGACGAAGTGCTTGTCCGGCCAAACGACCAAACGGCCGACGAAGTGCTCGTCCAAACTTACAACTACTAGTATATCCGTCCCATCCTAACACATGCCCATCCCACTTGGTTTGCTACATCCCACACCAAGCGCACCAAACTACGCCGCGTGGAAAACCACAACATCCGCCTCACCTTCCGCCCACGCATGTACACCATTTACAACTCCATACGACATCAAAACAAAATACCCCACACCTCACACACATCCACAACTTCGCAATAGCCCAAATCAAAAAATACCTCAACAATCCTATTCCGAAGCCTAATCCTTCCTCACCACCACATCCACAGAAACCCACCCCTACACACTCGGAAAAAGCACCCCTTAGACATCCTCCAACTTCCCCTCCTATCACCTAAGCTAGAGGAAAGAAATAAACAACTACAAATTAAACCGACAACGAATTGACAGAATGACTGACACACTGTACATGTCGTCAACAACAAAACACCGCCGCCTCCTTTGACTAAATCCTTGCCCACCTCTTCCCTCCCACCCCACCCTATCCCCTCCCATCCCGGTCCTGCCCCTTCCCTCCCCTGTCATCCACAACCTTAATACCCCTCTCTCCATAGAAAAATTAACCCTTCCGCCAACAGCCCAGACTCCCGATCCCCGTCCCGTACGGAGGAGAGGAGTCAAAAAACCCTAAACAACAACCCACTGGAAGCCCCCTGTTCGAAGAGACCCCGCAAGGGGTCAGGCGAACACGATTTGTACCCCTAATGAGACGTCGCTTGCCCGTCAGGCGGACCTGAAGGCGCAGCCGCCGTCGCCGCAGCCGTCGGCGCCCAAGGGGCTGACGATGGGCGCGGGGCTGTCGGGCCCCAGCGTCGAGGCCGTCGGCAACGAGATGTTCGACGCCGAGTGCCTCAAGCTCATCAACGAGTACTTCTACGGCGTGCGCATCTTCCCCGGCCAGGACCCCACGCACGTGTACGTGGGCTGGGTCACCACGCAGTACCACCTGCACAGCCAGGCCTTCAGCCAGGCCAACGTGCGCCGCGCCTCCGTCGAGGTCACCGACGACTACGGGCGCGTCATCGATTGGTGCGTACCCCCCCGCTTGCCCGCGCACCCCCGCCACCCACAGGTTCCTTCGCCGGGGGTTCGGCTCGCCGCTCATTACAGCTGCTCCCGCAGGGACTCAGCTCTGGTGGTGCTAGAGTTCCACTCTCGACGGTGACACACTAACTGCATAGCTATGTCGAATTCAGCTGCAGTCTGGAGTAGAAGTCTAGTGGCCGGCTCCTCTTATTAGTAGTTAGCCCAGATTAACACCTGATAAATGCAGGAGTAGATCCCTAACAAACAGTTCACGGACCACGCGCGATATTTCCTTCTTTTTCTTCTGTTTTGTACTATCCTCAGCACTTACTTGCACACACTTCCAAGCAGTATATTACCACCCATATCGGAAGCCCAGTCGAGAGCTTAGAGGTTGACCCGGCTGGGGTTGTGCCGGCTGGTGGGAGGTACCTGGTGAGAGTAAAACACCATAAGCAGATGTGTAGGTCGGCGCCGCGTCTAGCCATGTAGTAAGGGAAGATTACCTCCACCCCGTGATAAAACGTACACTACATTTACAGGACTAGTGACCTCGATAGTACCCGCGGCCGGGAACGTGAAATAATCCGGCCCGCCGCCGCCGCCCAGCAACCCCAAACGCTGACCTCTGCCCTGGCACGATTTCAGCCGCCGCCTTCGTCTCCCGGCAGGCGACCTTTGGCACCGGCCACGCTCCACCCACCAGCCCAGCCCCTCGACCCCACGTCGCCCCCCCCTCGCAGCTCCCAGCCCTCCGACCGCAGGCCCTTCACCTTCCCCCCCCCCTTCCCTCGACGCCCATCGCCCCGCTCCGCCCCTGGCTTCCTAAGGTCATCGCCGTAGCAAGTCGGGAAAGATGGCGAGGGCGGAGGAAGACGTTTGTGTTTTTACAAGCTTCAGGATTGTCGCTAAAATGCATGATGATCCCAATAGATCGATGTATCCAACAGATCTATGCTCAAGCGCTCTAGCATTTAATCGTGCTGGTCCGAATTGAAACATGTAACGAATTACAGACTTAACTAAACAATGACAGTTTTAAAAACCATGTTAGTATATATCGCGGAATAATTTTTAAAATTAAATCCATCCTTTTCTACATTTAGTTTTACAGAGTTTATGTAATTCAAGAAATTTTAATGAAACGAAACAAGTCTCATTTTCAATGTAATTTCAAACGAAATTGCTAACTTTCCTAAAACTTCATACGATAAAATTTAATTTGTTTATTTTTAGCTGGTACGAATATTGGAACAATTTTAAGTTTCTTGTTCTCTTCTCGTTTAACAATTTTTATGGAGGAATGTGTATTTAGTGGGTGAAAATATTTTTAAAAATGGTTTCTATACATTCCACTTCTTTCTTCAAAACGGTTCAGAAACGTGACGAGTAGAATTTGTTGCTGGTCTCTGTATCCCAAGCATGTCCCTCATTACTCTCTCTACTTTTCGGCCAGATCTTCCTTAATTAGGTAATTTAAACTGAATTACAAGAAGATAAAAGTCTTATTCTTCTCACACCCACGTTCTCCTCTAATTTCTCCTTAATTTCTTTCTAGAAACCGTATTAAAATGTTATTAACTTTTGTAAATTGCATTTGAAGTAACGTAAAGGATACTTCACATTCCTATAAAAAATTATATGATTTTTAATTACAAAGTTGTGTTTGTAATTAATCGTTTTATTTTCTTGTTATTTTATTAAAACACTTATCCTCTTCAGTGACTGTGAAAAAGTTGAGATGAATTAAAATATTAACACTCGTATACTCCAACCCTTAACTTTTCTTTTGACTGGTTTTTGGTTTCGAACAACAGGATAATAGGACTTGAAAGATCGTAAATGCAGTCGAATACTATATAAAATATTTTATATATAGAAAAATAAGATGATGTTAATAACACTTAGCACCTACCCTTATTATTTAATATTCAATGTTTTAATAATAAAACGAAATGTTTGGTCTTTCCATAGCGATTTATTTGCTTCGTTACTAATTTCGTCGCAAGTGGGCAGGCGTTTCGCAACCGCTTGGCACGGCTCGCGCACGGAGCGCCTGGCTTGCAGCCACGAGAGTGCAGTGTGACGATGCTCTCCTTTAGTGCCCCGGACCTTTCGTAATTACGCTATTTAGAATACATTAGGCGCTCGTTAAAAAACAAACGGTCATTAAATTACGAGGGTTATTTCACAACTTTATGCAGTTCTTCCTCTGCTGTTTTTTCTGAAACCCTTACGTCGAAAAATACTGAGAGATAATTAAAATATATCTACGACATCGTGCGACTTTGAGTAATGAGTATAATGATTATGTTAATGATAGTGATGGAAATTAAATGTTCTCATACTAAAATAATATCGAGTAAATTTTAAAATTACATTTTTGCAATAGAAAAAAGTAAATTACATCAAAATTATCATTTTATTGTGTATTATTTGTTTTCTTCAAATATAGAAAAATTGTATTAAAAACAATTAAAAAGTTGAAAACGCTAGTGAGAATTGTGCCTGATCACATTAGAAATAATTAATACTTCTGAACCTAGGAGATTTTACATTATGAGAAATAATTTGTTTTGAGAAGTGTAAGAATCTATTAAACATTTGAAGATTGTATTATTCTGCATAGATGACTTCAGAGAATAACTCCAGTAAATCCCTCTAGAAAGGCCTTTCTTCTTTTCCTTTTGTGACACTGCTTCGATTTTCTGCCTTTCCACGTGCCCTCGAGCCTGTCGTCTCACGTATGTTTTCGCAACACGTGGATCGTTACCAACTTGTTGGTGTTATTTGCCCTGAAGCACATAACTACGTTCTCGAACGATGGTTGAAGACAATACAAAAAAGAGGTTAATGTTGTAAAAACAATTAGCTTAGGTTAAACGAGTTAAAATACTTATAAAAATTAAATAATAATTGTTATATTTTCATGCAATTCATTTTTTTAAAAATATTTGAAGCATTACTCTGAAAGCCTAATATTGTTTTAGAATATGAAATTCAAAAGCAAATAAATGGAAATGGGTGTGGAAGATATGGAATTTTATCAAGCTGAACGATAATTTAAAAAGTGTGTTGTTGTTTCGAGCCATATGAAAATGAATACGAAATGTTCGGAGGGAGGGTGAATTTACGAAAAGGAAGACCCCCGCGTCGCCCTAATAACTTAGCACTGCAGCAATTAATTATTACGCCACATAACTAGAGATGGTAGATTTTAGCAATTGATAAAAATGCGAAACGCTGAAAAAAATAGTAAGTTTATGTTCGACGGTCAGTGCAGTATATTTTTGAAGGTTTTCAATCTGCGATAAAATGTGAAATCGATCACAAAATGCGAAAGCACTAAGAAAGTTGGAAATGATCGTGAATTTGCGATATAGTTGCTAAATTGAATTTGAATTGAGTATACGTGTTTATTAATTTATAATTAAAATTTAACAAACTAAACTAAGGAAACCATAAAAAGAACAATTAGAAAACTGATACTGAAAGCCTGATCGCTCAGGGTCGTCTCAAGGGTACTCAGCTTCGTCAGTGCTGTAGGAAGGTCACGGGATGACGAGGAAAGCACTCGCCTACAGCGCACACATTGCTTCTTACGATTTTATATTTGAAGTTGACAAATGGCGAAATATTAAATTATTTATCCCCTTATTTCGTGATTTTAATGGGGTATTCTAAAAAGCACGAAACTATTTTTTTTTATCTTAAAGAGTCCTTCATGAGTAATAATTTTATCAACAAAAGCTACAAAACGCTAAATCTCAATTTCTGTGATGTCGCCGTCGCAGCGTGGAGCGGCAGAGCTGCTACATGCTGCGCGCCGACGAGCTGTACAACGAGGTGACCAACGACGCGTCAGGCAAGGCTGCGTCGCAGGGCATGTTCATCGGCTGCTTCGTGGATGCCGCCACGGGCTACATCTCGTGGACGTGCGAGGGCAAGGAGACCAGCCACCGCTTCAAGGTCACGCCAGCCATTCCGTTTACTCAGTCAAAAAAAACTGTAAAAGTTGTATGTGACGTAGAGGGGGAAAGATTATCTGCGCACGTTTTCTTGAGTTCCAGAATCCCTTCCCGCCATTTTAACTATAGTTGAAAGATGAGTAAACGTTTAATGCAAATAAATAAAAATAAGTTTTAAAAATAAATATTTAAAATCGCAAGGTTAGCAATATTTGAAAAATAGTTATTTTCGTTTCTGAGTTATAGAAATCTTATTTGCATAGGTACACGAATTGCAAGTATGATTTTTCTGCATTGCTAGCAAAATAGCAACTCCCCCCTACCTCTACTCTTACAAGCAAAAGGAGAGTTCAACCAAACGTGCGCATAGGGAAGCTACATTTACGTCCAGACGCAAAACAATGGTCCATCTCAGCATTTGCTCAATGGATCAGGGAAACTGGACAAAAACCTGGTCGAAAAGGGATGGATTCATTCATTGAATAAATGTATCGAATGAATGAGTTGAGTGAGCGAATGAGTTGAAAGAAAGAATGAAGTTGTTGGATGGTTTTATTGTTTTGTCAGTATGTAATGTCCATAAATGTAAGCTTAAAAGCTTATTTTCTTTCGCCTGTTATTCTTTGCAGTAAAGTAATATAACAACCTTTCAAACATTAATATTTACATATGTGTACTTAGACTGATTTTAAAGGTTGTGACAACGAAATTTGACATTTTAAAAGTAACAACAAAATCTTCACTCTTAAATTTAGGAATTCATCATAATTGTTGTATAAGATGAGATTTATAACTAAACAGACCATTACAAGAGTTATAACTGAAACTTAAACAACATATTACTCCCTATAATATGTATTTTTGCTCTTCATTGTATAGGGTTATTCCTCTCGTCATACTCAATTTGATATATCTCTCCTGTACAGATGGAGCCTGATACAAAGCTCTTCCCTGCCATTTTCGTGGAGGCGACCAGCAAGGAAATCCTGCAGATTGAGTTGGGCCGCACATCAACTACATTGCCTCTGTCTGCAGCTGTGTTGCAGAACTCAGAACGCCATGTTATCCCACAGGTGTGTAAATAAATATCTGCGAGAAATACGTTTTGGCGTCTTTGTTCCTTCAGGTACTGGCTGTTGCGAAGTCTCACAGAGATGGCTGTTCCATAATTAATTACGGTTATCGTAAATCCTAAACCTCATCAGGAAAAGTAGAGCTGCATGAAATTGATAATAGATTGAGACGTTTCTCTAAATCTAAATGATGGTTTCTACGAGCATAAAAACAATTAAAATATGCACACAAGACCTGACTTTCTTCAAGAATTTTAATTTAAATTTAAATTTTGAGAGCTACAGTGCTGGGGTCCATTATTGCCTCTATTGTATTAGTATACTATATTTTTCAATTGTTAATAAAGGAAAGATGAATAATTTACATTTATGCTGCGTGAGAATTTCACAGACGTGAAATCAATAAAATAACGTAAATATTTGTGAACTTCACTTAAATTTTTGTGAAAACTGAAAAAGAAAATTAACATTTAATTTAATGTTTTAGAAGAAGATGTGTATATCTATGATCAATTATTATATACGTTTTATGCACGAACGCGTTTCCTTTCATTTCTTACCAAAGTTCACAATGAATTTTGAACTTACGTGGAATCAGAATCTCTCTTTCCAAATCTGCCTTCCGGAGGGTAGGTCAGGATATTTTAACACACTTGTTCCAATTACATTTCTCTTCCTGGAAGAGTTAGTAACTATATTCATTAATAACAAATAAGCAACGCCAATTTTATTTCCTTATGAGTACTACTTCTCTTGAATTACTCTTCCGAAAAATCAGGTAAATGAGACATAGTGGCCTCTATCTCCCAGATGCAAATATGTTGTCTGCTCCCTTTCTCTGATATATCGCTCGCTATCGCTGTAGCAAAAAATTTAAACGAAACGTCACGTATTTTACCATATCCTCCCTCTCGCAAAATGTTGCCCAGAGATCGTCGACCATTACTCACTCCTCTCAACCGTCTGTCCGTCAGGCGGGAAAAACGTTCATGCCACAAACACGCCCGTCGTAAATTTTTCAGCTTCTGCTGTACATCATTCGAACAAGTTTCTTTCCTTAGCCAAATGCTTTTTCCTATGGTTTAATGAGTTTTTTGATGTAAATAAATTCTCCCTCTCTCATTTAACTCAACAAAAGATCATCGGGATTTTACAAACTATTTTTTTAAGTAAAATGATAATGTGTTACGAGTACAATAACTTACGCGTCTTCATTACCGCAGCGGAAAGCTCTTGAAGTTGATCTAGGTCAGAGAAATGGGCCAAAAAACTGAAGAACGGTTTTGGAAACCAGATTTCTGAGATTAGTTGTAAAATTTTGGTTTATAATGAAATCCCGTAACTCTTGCCTCTCCATGTGGAATACGTTTCACAGATGTGAAGATACAAAGATGAAAGACCCCCCCCCCTATAGGCATAAACGAAGACACTACAATTTTCGTATTCCAATACAGTTAAACTACTACTTCTATTGCAAATACTGAATTATACTCAATAGACGTATTTTTGTTATTCCTCTGGGGGCTCTCATTCCTGTTTTAGTTGAAAAGTCAGGCTGATATGGAATAAATATTAAAATGAATCCAAACAACTATATTTGTCATTGTAGAAACGTAAAATATTGTTCATTTATTCATTATCTATATAATATACATCATGTCGTCTGCAGAAAATATAATACTGATTTCCAAATATAGACTGTAGTGAAATATGTTATGATAAGACAGTAGAAGTGTCCACTTCAAGCTTAAAACTTGAAAAATAAGAATCGCATTCTTTCACCTTGCTTTAAATTTGCAGAACGTGAAGAATATGTCCTCTAGTGACGAGGATTGGAGCGAAATTAATTTAATTTTTTCTCCCTCATTTTATATTTAAAGAATAAGCTGAAAGAAGTAAGTGGAGTTCCTTACATTCATTATAGACGCAGTGTCAGTAGGTGTAATCGACTTTGTATCAGTATTCAGTGATGCCAACACGTGTTTCAGTTAGTGTTTGTTTGTTGGATCATTATCTCGTGTCTTTTGCGGACTAGGCCGAGCAATTTCTTTTCACCAGAAAAATTATCTCTGTCCCCAAACCTTTTTTGCTGTGAGTGAGCATAAAAGAATAATCTAACGTGTGTGCGTGTGTGTGTTGCAGTTCCCGCCGCGCCTGAAGGTGCAGTGCCTGAAGCCGCACCAGTGGGCGCGCGTGCCCAACCAGGCGCTGCAGGTGCACGCGCTCAAGCTGTCGGACGTGCGCGGCTGGTCCATGCTGTGCGAGGACCCGGTCTCCATGCTGGCGCTGCACCTGCCCGAGGAGGACCGCTGCATGGACATCCTCGAGCTAATCGAGATGGAGCGCCTGCTCAGGTGCGCATCGGCGCCCCTCGCGGACCCCCTTCGCCCTACTGGCCGCCCTGGTTTCGCTGGGCGAAACGAACCGGTTATTGGTTAAAGTACACTGTAAAGTTTTCGGGGAGGAGGGTTGTTCCGTCTTCTTAGGTGGGCACCATCAAAATGACCTTCTCTTGTTCGGATAAATGGAACAGACAAAGATGTTGGAATATAAATTTGATATAACGTATAAAGTAGTATGTACTTGTTAATGAAGGTCAGTTATTTAAAGTTCTCATTTTATTATTGTCAATTTTTTGCTACTGACAAAGACTGCATCGGATATTACATTAAACTATACAAAAATGGTTATGATAAATTTGATAATATATTTGTTTATTTTAATATCAAAGTTTTTAACTATAAATATTAAGCAAAACCCGGTGTTTTGGCCAAGCGTTCCAAAATCCTTAGATATTCAACGAGTAACCCGGTTGAGTTCCTCCGACCGTCATTTAGTTAGACTTCCTTTCGGGCCACCGTCTGGTTCAATGAGGTGTCTTTTGGCGTCTTGGCCTGCTGGTGGGAAACTGGCCATCCTTTATTATCCGTTTTATAACTAAAAAAAGGGAATATGTAAAATGGATTTCCTGAGAAACAAATAAATGTGTACTTTTGAGAGGTGGTACTGGAGGGTGACGCGTGTGTGTGGGTGTGTGCCCGGCAGCTTCCACGCGCACACGCTGACGCTGTACGCGGCGCTGTGCTACCAGAGCAACTACCGCGCGGCGCACGCGCTGTGCCGCCACGTGGACCAGAAGCAGCTGCTGTACGCCATCTGCTCCGAGTACCTGTCGGGGCCCCTGCGCCAGGGCTTCTACGACCTCCTCATCGCGCTGCACCTCGAGTCGCACGCCAACACCATGTGAGCACGCTCTCCTGCGCCTTCCCTTTCTCTTTCTCTGCCCTGCACGCTCACATTGGTCGAGAGACCACTTGGCTGAATTAGGCGAGAAAGATCGCCGCCACCTCCCGCAATTAAAATATGCACTATACTTACGGCACTAATGATCTTAGCAGTTGAAGCTATTGGAATGACAAATCAATACATCCTTCTCTTTCTCTGAGTTTCTTTCTCTCTCTTTCTCTTTCTCTCACCTCTATCTTTCTCTTTTTATCCCTATTTCTCTCTCTATTTCTCTCTCTATTTCTCTCTCTATTTCTCTCTCTATTTCTCACTCTATTTCTCACTCTATTTCTCTCTCTGTTTGTCTCTCTGTTTGTCTCTCTCTATTTCTCTCTCTGTTTCTCTCTCTGTTTCTCTCTCTATTTCTCTCTCTCTTTATTTCTCTCTCTCTATTTCTCTCTCTCTCTATTTCTCTCTCTCTGTTTCCAATACGCTAATAACAGATGATAGATTTTGCCAATCTATAAGAAATCATCCTCACAAAACCCTACAAAACAATTTATTGCAACACATAATACAATCGCGCATTATTCGGAAACTATTTCTATAAAATATTCTACTAAATGAGATCCTTTTGAATTTTTTACTACAATTTTGGAGAATTAGTTCTTTTTCATGCTCCCACTCCATAACATGGGGTGGTCAAAAAATTCAGAATCCCGAAATCCATGTAAAAGTAAGCTGAATTTTAAAAATCAGAAATTTCACGGTTAACTTTTCTCTCGCGGTCAATTTTAATATCAGTGCAGTTTCATCTCAACTCATAACATTTTTCGGAAGCTTACTCTCGAACAGTACTGGACTTACTGCAGTTTGCTGTATCGCACAGTTTGAGGGATGGCCTTTCAAAGATGGAACAATACTACTGTGAAACAATTATCAGTTTTAAAACATTTTTTCAAAGTGCAGCTAGTTTTATTTACTTAATAACGTCTAAATCAATTAAAACAATTTGTAACGTTCGGAAGGATCGATGAAGCAAGAGATACTGAAAGAAAATACTAATCAAGACGTTTTATAGTAATTTGGAACTTCACTAAGAAGGGATAACAAGCTTGATTTGTCTGTTTTAGATGCCACCATTTTATGAGATGCGAATACCTAATACATACTGAGCTCTACTTTGTGTGTTGCTAATCAACTGTCCTTTGCATAAATGTTTATGAAGTATTGACTCGAACTCGCATCTTAACATGGGACCCATACAAATGTAACCATCACTCACAATGGGACCCGTTACTTTGGGCACCTACAAATACATACTCGTATATACATAAATACAGAAGTTACGTACTCTCGTTAGTGTACTCTGCTGGTGAAATAGCATTTTAAAACGTCTTAAGTTCGCTGGAATAATGTTTAGGAATGAATGTGATTCTGATACTGATTTCTCTAATATTTTGTAAGCACAGAATACCATTCGAATTGAAGTAACATCCGCATACAAAGCATTTTTCCAAATATTGTATCTAACAATAAATTAAATCAATTTTTTGCTACATAAAATAATTATATTTATAAATATTGTGGAAAATAAGTGAAAATTGTGTTGAAAATTGTACTTGAATTTGTTGCGTCCAAATTCAAGTATTTTCAAATGAAAATGAACAAACGTATCAATCAAAACAGATAAAACGTAATAAAATAAGAAAGGGAATGGCGTTTACGCAAGTAATAAGTGATTAATGAATGTTGGGTAAGTTCTACGAGCTAGTCTTATTGTTTTCTTTCCGCTTGGCAATCCCTTTAAGAAACTGTGTCGGTTCATCGACCTTGTGTATTACTTGACCTTACTAAGGGTAGAAGTTTGGCAAACTTCAAGTGTATTCTCTAAGAGCTTTCTGACCCACCATCACAAAAGACTCGCAGATTGCCTTTGATATGTCTTACATTTGACAAATGTGCCTGAAGATTTTATTTTCAAAGATCAAAACATTGCGAAACGTGGCATATCCTATTTGTGCTTGTTCCACGCCACCGAACTGCATTAATATTTCTTATGGATTTATTTGTTACACTGCACGCGTTGTTTTGTTTGAAATAATTTCCGATATTGAATATACACCATGTATCGTTAGAGTATGGAACATTTTATTAATATTATACAATTTTTAATGAGATCAAGGACAAGATTTGTGACCAACAACGAGTTGCAACAAGTTCTCCATCAGTGTATTGACGGAGCTTGCAAATTGCGCATGGTATTGCATAGACTTCAGAATGCCTGTCAGTTGTGGCGCGTCGTATTGTTCAACGCGTGTGTGGTTTCTCAGGGAGGTGTGCAAGAACGAGTACATCATTCCGCTGGGGCCCGAGCTGAAGGAGCTGTACGAGGACCCCGACATGGGCCACAGCCTGCGCTCGCTCAAGACGGAGAGCGTGCGGCCCCAGATGAAGATGACGGAAATCACGTGAGTATTATATCACGCTCAAAAGAGACAATGGCGGCCACAGAGCGACGGCTGCTGATAAGAGAAGCGACTCCTCTAAAAGAATTGATTTCATCTTTTTCTTATTTATTTAATTTCATTTTAATATTTTCTTTAATAGCTTGGTATTGATACGAGGCGGTTGCTCAAAATTGTTGTTCTGATACAGAAAGGCAAATAAGCCAGTTTTAGTTTGATTCAAACATAATCCAAATGATGAAAACAATTCGCAGATGAATGTTTAATTTTATAAATAATAGTAATACTTAAAAAAGTTAATTAACAGCAAATAATAGGAATAGAATTTGCATTCTCATTCATTCACCCAGTTAATCATTCTACATTTATTCGTAATGATTTATTACCGAATGAGTAGACATCCTTCGTATTAGCAGATGTGCGTATACACGAAAAATGAAAGAATAAAAATAAAACTGGCTGGCACGTTTGCAAACCTTGCCCATGGGAACCCAAAAACCGAGAGCTTCAAGCTAATCGTTTTTCAAAGAATAATAATGATAGTAAAGAAATAACGTCTCTATCAATTCATTTAAAATAACATATGAATAAATTTCAGGATCAATAGTACTTTGTGAAAAGCTTATGTCAATCACTACAATATGAACATAACGACGTGAAAATATTTAGCACATTTGCAATTCGATCTGAAGTTCTCATGGATTCTTGTACATAGGTCTCAGTACTAATTGAGTCGAACATTATGCTCAACGTATGCATTTTTGATTCCACTGAATACGAAGAAGAGCCCTTAAACTATAAATTTACCTCTTCGCTCTTGAAAAATGTTTCAATTGTGACGTCTCTCTCTCCAGGGACAACATCGAGAACATTCGCACGTTGTACAGCCCACACTTCCCGCTGGACGTGGTGAAGAACTACGTGATGGCGGCGCTGGACGAGGCTGTGCAGATCAACCAGGTGCACAACAGAGACCCCATCGGAGGCTCCAACGAGAACCTTTTCTTGTGAGTGTGGACATTTCTAGAAAAACGTTTGTTTACAAGGAAACTAATTTTCAAATATTTTGTTGGAAAATATCGAAAATCTCACTAATGATCACGTCAAAAAATCACCATACATTGTTTTTTTCTTTTCAGGCCTCTGTTGAAGCTGGTTGATCGTTTACTTCTAGTAGGCATGTTGACGGACGAAGATGTTGAAAAGTTGCTCATCATGGTGGATCCTGAGACCTGGGATCCGACCTTTGAAAAGGGTGAGCTAACATTTCAAGTAGCGATACGCTTCTATTTATCGTATTCTACCATGAGGCAGCAAAGAAACAAAATTAACATTTCAATTTTAGAGTAATGAAATACGAAAGAGCAGAGTTTCAGACAAAGTTTCGAAATGCGAAAGTCCGTGCCGCGAAGTAAGTATAGTGTTTTGCAAGAACGAAAAATATATTTTCGAATGATTTTTTTCATTTAACTAGATACAATGAACAATTATTATTTAATATAAATATTTATATTAATATTAGATAATTGATTACAATTTGTAGAATTTAATCACAAAATCTAATACATTTTATTCAACGCGTATGCTTACGTTCGTATATTATAATAGAGTTCGTATATCTAAGGTTCTGCAGGGAAATGTGTTGTCACAAAAACTAATTTTATTTTTAGCAGAATACTACACCGTAAAGTTCGACAACCTAATATTTAAGAGATTTTAATTAGTATAATATGGCATATTAGTTTCACTAGAATTTACATTCTTCTCTTCCATTATTTCTCGAGGATGTGCAAGGCATTTCCTAGAATGTAATACTTTCCTGAAGCGACTTGTGAGGTAACAACTCAATTTGAAACCGTTCGTTTTCAGATGGCAAGGACGAGCACCGCAAGGGCTTGCTGCACATGAAGATGGCGGAGGGCGCCAAGTTGCAGATGTGCTACCTGCTGCACCACTTGTGCGACACGCAGCTGCGCCATCGAGTGGAGGCCATCATTGCCTTCAGCCACGACTTCGTGGGAGACCTGCAGGCGGTGAGCATTGCGTTGAAATCCTCGTCAGACGTTTCGAAATGGGAATCGGATGTAATCTGCGCAAATGCCTACATAACCAAACAGAGCGGGTTTAGAAAACATATTTCGAGGATAATCAAATAAGTAGCAAACGTGAAGTTATGCAAATTAAATTAATAAGAACGTATATACGTATATGTACATATACGTATTTGTGATCATGCGTATTTTATATTCATTTAAATCCACATTACTATTTATAATGTTATTCAGCTTAAATTGTAATGTGGCAGAAACAAGTAGAGGGTACATTAGTTATTCTCAGTCTTCAATTGATTTCTTTGTGTGTTAAAAGCAAGCTGCAAAGAATACTACCCTTTTTTAGGTTCAGTACCCTCGTAACTGACCAGCTTTTAACTTACCGGAACCAGTTTGGGCACCAGAATATCACGCACCTGCCGTGACATGTTCCTAGCCGCGAAGACATAAAAGAAAATTCACGATTACCTTTAAAGCTTTTTTTGTAAATACATTTCAGTACTAAACTGAACATGAGATTTAACGGCCCTTGCCTATTAAATGTGTAACAGGTTTAAATTTTTGTTCTTCTACAAAGGACGTTTTCAGGATCCGTTTTCTTTATTTTACTTATCATTAACACAAAGTAAGCTATTTAGTTTTTGTTTTTTCTGATTAAAAACTATTCCAGCAATATATTTTAATTCTATGAAAAAACGTCGATATAACAAACATGCAGTTTTTACTCTTTTTGACTGACTAAATCTAAATCTAAATCTAAAATCTAACAGTATAATCACGCCGTCGATATCCGACCCCGAGGCGGTGGTTTGAGAGGGTGAGGATGTGAGAATGGGGACGCGTTGCTGCCGCAGGACCAGCTGCGCCGCTACGTGGAGATCAAGCAGTCGGACCTGCCGTCGGCGGTGGCCGCCAAGAAGACGCGCGAGTTCCGCTGCCCGCCGCGCGAGCAGATGAACGCCATCCTCAGCTTCAAGAACCTGCCCGAGGACGACAAGGAGAACATGCCGTGCGGCGAGGAGCTCATCGAGGCTCTGTCGTCCTTCCACGGCGACCTCCTGGGCAAGGTGTCGCTCAACGCCCTCCAGGAGCCCGAGGAGTCCGAGGTGAGCTCGCCGTGCCCCCCACGCACGTCCCATCAATTCAATTCTATTCAATTCAGTCCACCTTCCACGGCGACCTCCTGGGCAAGGTGTCGCTCAACGCCCTCCAGGAGCCAGAGGAGTCAGAGGTGAGCTCGCCGCGCCCACCACGCACTTCCTATTGATTCGATTCGATTCGATTTGATTCAATTCAGTTCAGTTCAGTTCAGTTCAGTTCAATTCGAATCGAGTCGAGTCAGTGATCCCTTATTTTACGTGGCGAGACTCAGGACATCAGGCCTGCTCTTCTGTCTGGCCACGCAAATTTCGCTACGCCTCGTTCACCACCTAGTGGAAAAAGAACATATCACTCGGGCAAAGAAACAGGCTATTTTAAATTTAGTTCAGAGGCTTCTTTTAGGCTTCATATGCAGTAAATCTATAACACAGGACAGCCGGCTTTACTTATTCTACGAAGAAATACGTGCGAAGCATATTTTCGTCCTTCAAAATTCACGGCTTCAATCGGGTTTGAACTCGATTTTTAAACGATATTTAAGGAAAACTTGGGTATAGCAGCACAATGCGTTAACCGTTATACCATGAAATCATAGCCTTGGACTGGTGGGCAAAGGGGTCATTAAACGTATTTCGTACGTCCAATTTGAAATATTTTTAATACCCCCTCTCCTCTTTGCAGCGCACCTGTAACGCGCGCTTCAACCTCTCTAAATAACTACTTAACGCTTGCGACAAGACAATTCTCTCCCCTTTTACAATAACTAAAAATAAATTATAAAGTAGTAGCCACGATTTGTGTTAATTTTATTTGCGTTAAAATTTAGGATAATTTAAGTCAGAGTTAGTTGGCGATGTTGACTGTACCCAAGATACATATGTACGTAGGATTAGAGACAATTTTTGAGTGAAGGAGGGACACGTAGACGAGACAATTTCAAACAAGGCGTGCACACGTCGTTGTGGATGACGCATGGGCCTAAGATTAGTCTGGATCAATTCATTTGTATTCTAGAATATACCAAGAATTTTGAATATTTTCTTCGTAATCTAACAGATTAAGTGAAGTTGTCATTGGCGAAGAAATATTTAAATTTATTGTAACATTTTATACATAATAATTTTCTAATTTATTTATATTTTCTAAATTGAATTTGTTTATATTTTACTGTTTTGGTGTTGAAAGAGAGAAATGAAAGGGAATTCGTTCGCAGGAGAACGCCCTGGAGGGCGCAAAGCCGGGCCCTATCAAGCGCCTGTACAACTTCATCAACGCAGTCAAGGAGCTGGAGGAGGAGCCCAAACCACCCGAGGAACCACCGCGCAAGACCCCTGAGGGTGAGCGACCGCTTCTACCTCGAAGCAGACCACTGGCGCGCGTCGGTGTACCACTTGCTCAATTCACTTTCACCGATAGATTTCACGTCTCCGAACACGTGGGGGACAACTTCCGAACACGGTTGAATATAAATCGCTCTGCACTGGGCATGGGATCTTCAAACATGGTGTCTTGAAGGTCATAGTCGAATTCACACAAATGTGTAAGAACTGAATGGTAAATATGGTAAGAGTTGATCAAGAAAAGGTGTTCTAGTAAGCAAACTGTAAAATTGCTACAATTATTAATTTTTCTTTGTACACAGAGTTCGTATGTTATTCATTCCTCTCTTGGTTCATTATCAGCCAAACATTGGGATTTGTTGTTTGCCATTGAAGCTCTGTTGTAGTTGGGACTGTAAAAAGTATATTTATTCCTTTACATTGTCTTCTGTAATTTGTAATTTGACCTTTGAAATTTATCTGGATTATCTTTTTTGATTTTGTATTTGGGGTAGTCTGAGTCTCTGCTATCTCAGATAATCACGAGTCTACTACACTTCTGAAATGTTAAATATCATAAAGTGTAAACACTTTACACATTTTACTGTAATAAGCATTTTATTTCTATCACATTAATTATTTTTCTTTCGCGTTAATTAATGATTTTGAGTTCTTTGAATACTCAAATTATTTATTTGCGCGCGCAAGAATCGTCCGGATTAATATTTCAAAAACTACACACCTACAATATGTATATTTCAATACTTCAGTAATCTAGTAATGACAAAGAGAGTAAAAATGCTAGATGTAAAGCCTCTTGTGTAATTCTCACGCTCTTGTTTACCGCAGAGATCTTCAGGAAGGTCCTCATCAAAACCATCGTGCGATGGGCCGAGGAGTCTCAGATCGAAACCTCGAAGCTGGTGCGAGAAATGTTTGGGTACGTATGTAGGGAAACAAGGCACCTTCCTAGAATGTGCTCAGAGACACAAGTAATATAAAATTAAACAATCATTCAATACACGTATTTGTTTCTCTCAACATCCTCAAACGAATGTAACTTCATTATCTAAATAATTTGACAAGTTAATGAAGTTTCATTAACTAAATTAAACTTCATTATCTGTGCATGTCTTCTAGTATTCAATTGGAAATATAGTTATTCAAGTTAGTTATCATTCTCCATTTTGACGCAGCAGGAAGTATAATTCTTTCATGAAGGACATGATGAGGGATAAAAGACCAAATTTATAGAGTATTTACCCTTGACAATAGATTTTATTACATCGGAGCGAATATTTTGGTAACAATCATTGCATAACACGTTCATTTCTTTCTGTATTCAAAATTCAACTAGTGTAGGGTAGGGATCACAGGATTATGAAAACGTGCACAGACTTCACTCCTCTCCATAGCACGTCACCCACTCTATTAACATAAAAAACCAAACAAAAAGCGAGTGTTGAGTGTTGTATCATGACGTCGCTCTGCGCTTGCAGGCTGCTGGTGCGCCAGTACGACACCGTGGGCGAGCTGATCCGCGCGCTCAAGAAGACCTACATCATCAACAGCAAGACGAAGGGCGACGTGGCGCTCATGTGGGTGGGGCTCAGCCAGATCCGCGCGCTGCTGCCCGTGCAGATGTCGCAGGACGAGGAGGAGCTCATGCGAGAGAGGCTCTGGTGAGTTGCTTCCTCAACCGCAAACCCTTCCCTGCTCTTATTTGTTAATGCCTATTGCGAAGAAGGTAGCAGAAAATGTAAAGAATTTTGAACCAACTTGATTCAGATCACAATTGGGAAAATTTTTCAATATTCTGTATTATAATTTTCAGTAAAAGACCTCTCTTTCTGTGAAAGAAGAAACAATTTGGTGACCACATTTAAAGCTTTTGTCATATGTTAAACTTTCGTGAGAATATTCGAAAAACATTTTTGAATATAATTCAATTTTTAATCTTAGTTGTTAATGTAGTCCAGTATGTTTCTAATTTTATTTGTTTGGTGTGGCTAAGAAGTTCGAATTTTCAATTATTGTGAAGCGTCTTGATGCTAATCATGCAATAAATTTAAACTCATTTACTAAATATATTAACTAAAATGTTGAAGCCACGTGCATGTTTCTATAATGTATAAAGGAAGTCATAATGCCGGGAAAATGTAGACAGCTCAATGACGTCATTGAAGCCCCCACCGCGTTCTCCACCTCCTCCACCGCTGCGTTTTTCCTCCCGAGACACGTCAACGGTTCTATAACGCTCGACGCTTGGATTCCTTCTTTGCGCCCTCCACACGACGCCGATAAACAAAGACCTTTGCCCCTTTCGGGGTCGGTTTTTCAGAACACGCATGGTTGTTCGGACGATCACAAGTGGCGCGTGGAAAATAAGAAAGGATTTCCAACTCAAGAGTGAATTGCATCTAAAAAAATTCCTCGAAGATGTCTTTTTTGGGCTATTTTCGTTCACGTACAGATACACCTGGGAATGGGGCTTGGGACTACTTCATTTTGCCTTTTCGCAGATTACAATAAATTCCTCTTCGATGATCCTTTTACTAATGTAAACGGTCTTCATTAGATCTGGGTGTTTTTGGAAGTGGGAGATGCTGTAGGAAGTCGCAAACAGTCTAACCTTTCCGTCGCGGTGTGTGCCCGCAGGAAGCTGGTGAACAACCACACGTTCTTCCAGCACCCGGACCTGATCCGCATCCTGCGCGTGCACGAGAACGTGATGGCGGTGATGATGAACACGCTGGGGCGGCGCGCGCAGGCGCAGAGCGACCAGCCGCAGGCCGGCGGCGCCGAGGGCGAGGCCGTCGCGCCCAAAGAGAAGGTGAGCTTCAGCAGCTAGGGCGCCAGCCACCGCTGTTGGATTAATGGTAACTGTGAAGATGACATGGTATGGTGATGGTAGGGGGAAGGACGAATACAACCATGCCCGAGTCGGGGCACGAACCCGCGATCCTTTAGTTCGAGATCGCTACGGCACTACTGCCTTAACGATCTCGGCCATTCGGAAGACACCGTGCCTTTTTTGTTACTTAAGGTTGCATCAACATCTAGGTCGATATCAACCACTGTTATTTTGAACGGTATGATAACTATATAGATGACATGGTATGGTGATGGCAGGTGATGAAAGAACGAATACAACCATGCCGGAGGCGGGACACGAACCAGTTCGAGATCGCCACAACACTTCTGCCTTGACGATCTCGGCCATTCGGAAGACACAGATGTGCCTTGGCCGGCCTGGATAGCTGAGGTCTTAGCTGACTTGGTTCGAATCCCGCCTCGCGCATGGATGTTTGTGTGTGTTCGTGTTGTCTCTACGTGTTGTTCCTACAGTCCCCCCTTCACTTAAAACAATCACAGTGGGCGCTATATGACCAAGTTGTTAACAAGCGTCATAAAAAATGTGTTTTGATAATCACAAAGGTCGTATCTGCTGTTTTTGGACAAATTGAGTTAATGTTAAAGTGCGGCTCTCTGTAAAGCGTTCTACCAATGATTGGGATTAATGGTCGTATCAAAGACGAAAAGTATTAATAAAGAGGCGTTTCAATAAAGTGGTATGTGCTTTTTGTGTAGATTACTAACGCTATTTGATCGTAAATGACAAGTTGTAAGCATTTAAGATTGTATTTACTGCAGTTATTTACCATGTATTTACAAAACGTGGGTATGAGAGAGATTTCTAATGTATGGGTGTGCGGGTGTGCGGTGTGTAATGAGGGTATTTAGTTGGGAAAAAGAGCTCCTCAAATCGAGAGAGAGGAGGGTCGTGCGATAATAATGATTTGCCTTTCTTGTAATAGAGCTCTTGCTGTAAAAGTGTAGTGTCAATGCTGAGGTTTTGCAAGCTCTTTTTTTATACCCGACAGTGTTTAATTATTGTAATAAGATTGATAGTAAGTACTTAGTACATGTGAACTATGGAATGTAAATACCGTCCATAATGAGAAAGTAGCTTTTTGGGAACGAAAATTTAGTCTTTCACCAGGTACTTCACAGATTACCTCTCTCCTTTTCTTGCTTCTATTCTCACTTCTTGCCTGTTTCCTTTTTTTAATTATTTCTTCACTTTATTTTCTCTCTTCTTTGAACTTTTTACCTCGTTTCCTTTTTATCCTAATTCATCAAGTACGTTTTAAACCTGGTTGAAAATAATTAAGAACAAAAAAGATATGAAAAATTTTAATATTCATATTTGATATAAACAAAGATTTCTTCATGTGAATAAATTGTAAAACAAGTAAAGAGAGACCATAAGGAGCATAAATTGTAGAATTATTTCTCGTTCAGATTTCGTTTGCGCTGCTTCAGAATATTCTATTATATTTGTTTGACTCTTAATTTTGATTTAAATTTAGATTTATTTAGTCAAAAAACAGTAAAAACTCTATGTGACGTATGGGGGAGAAGATCATTTGCGCACGTTTTCTTGAGTTTCAGAATACCTTCCCATCATTTTAACTATAATTAGTTGAAAGATGAATAAAAGTTTAAAGAAAATAAATAAATTAATTCATTCCTTTCTGTGCGGAGAAGTGTTTTTGTTTGGTCTCGCAGAACGCCGTGTCCAACGCGCGTGTGTGTGTGTGTGTGTTCGCAGGACACCTCCCACGAGATGGTGGTGGCGTGCTGCCGCTTCCTGTGCTACTTCTGCCGCACGTCGCGCCAGAACCAGAAGGCCATGTTCGACCACTTCTCCTTCCTGCTGGAGAACAGCAACATCCTGCTGTCTCGGCCGTCGCTGCGCGGCTCCACGCCGCTCGACGTGGCCTACTCCTCCCTCATGGAGAACACGGAGCTGGCGCTGGCGCTCAGGTACCCCACCCCACACCTCACACCTCACCTCACGCACCACACCTCACAACGTCACACTGCACCTTACGCCATACCACACCGCTCCACACCACACACCACATCACACCTCACAACACGTCACACAACCCCACACGCCACACACCACATCACATCGCACCATACGCCACACCACACACCACTCCTCCCCACACCACACCTCACCACAACACACCTCACCTCACCAAACCACACCACACACCACATCACATCGCACCATACGCCACACCACACCAAACCTCACCACACCGCACCGCATCACACGCCACGCCACACCGCACCGCACCACACGCCATGCCAAAACGCACCACAATCGCATCATTCACTGCGCCACACACAACACCTCACCATACCGCACCGCACCGTATTGCACTTCACGCCACACCAAAGCCACACCACACCACACCGCACCACACCACCATACTACACCACACACGGAGATAAATGTTTTGTTCATATAATTAATCACGTAGTAGATTGATCTATACGGTATAGTATATTTTTCAGAACAAAGTGCTTAGTTAAGTTCACAAAACTGTTGTTTATTTAAACTCACTGGTGCACGTATAGTAATGTTCACTAAAAAAGGTCGTACGCCATGACGAATGGCATGTAGTGGAGATAACAAAACGAATCGTTGCGTCGAGAAATATTCACCAAACACATTGCAGTGAAAATAATTAAACGCTACTGATTAAGTCTTATTCAGCAAAAATTCTGAACCTTTGTGATAATTGTGTTGATAATAACCCTTCATGTGGCATTTGTGGAGAAATTATCACATCATATAATTATATCATTCTATTATTTTTCTACATTACCCAATTAGAAGATCAGATTCTTTACTTTCCCTTTCATATTTAAAGTATTAAATTAAAAAATTGCTCTTAAGGTAAAAACTAAAATAAAAATTTCAATCATAAAGTGCAAGAAGAGAACAGTGATTCCAAGTCAACATCGTAGAAATCATAAGACAAATGAAATTAATAATTAACTTTGTTTCATAAGAAGCCATTTTCACTTACTCATCCTTAATAATATTTTATCCGCCAACCAACTTGACATCAATATTCATGAAGCAGCAGCGTGGAGAACGTACCTCTTCTACCAATAATAATTATTATACTTGTATCACAGAGAGAATTTGCATTGCAGATGTTCAGTACATTTCATTAAGTATGGCATTATATTGTGTAGTGGGTTTGACACCCAGAATATGCTTTCAGATATTAAATGCAGTGAGATATTCATGCGTAATACCATTAACTTGGTTCATAACTGGGTCCATTACCGTTCAAACGTTCAAAATTGTTCCTCAAATATGTTTATATGTGAGTTATAGTGAAGTTCTTTAAATACCAACCTCATCGTCCTTCCACATATCAAAACGGTTGTAACGTGAGCTTCATTTCGCCCCAGGGAGCACTACCTGGAAAAGATCGCCATCTACCTGTCGCGGTGCGGGCTGCAGTCCAACTCGGAGCTGGTGGAGAAGGGCTACCCGGACCTGGGCTGGGATCCGGTGGAGGGCGAGCGCTACCTGGACTTCCTGCGCTTCTGCGTCTGGGTCAACGGTGAGTGACCTCTGACCTATCGCCCCAGGCCTCCGTAATTGGATTGGAGCGGGGTTGAAGCCGCCGAAACGACGAGAGCTTCTCTGAATCGCGAAATGTCAAATGTCGCTTCGCACTCTATGTAATTTCACGAGCGACTTTCTTGTCGGTAGCGTTGAATTCTCTGTTTGAACGAGATGCGCCATTAATATAAAATTTGTAATAATGCAGTTCCCTAAAGGTCAGTAAACATAGAATAAAATATACGTTCAAAATGCTGCAGGTGAGTCTTTTTTCGCTTCACGATAAAATGATGCTCGTACATTTTTCTTTTGCTTTCATTAGTGTAAAATATCTCAAAAAATGCGTGCACCAAAGAGAGTGGAATGGACTTGAACAAAATAATTACTACTCAGAGTTCAAGATTTTATTAAATGATGCTCTTTTTAAAAGTTCTTCCCTTTCACCTTTTAAAACACATTTCTCTTTATTAAATTCTATATAATGTTATAAGTTTAAAAAAATGCATGTTATTTCTTAAGAAGATGAAAGAGTCATAAATGTAAAGACATTAGTGCGGGGCTTGAAAAGGGGCTTTACTTCAGAGCGGAAATTCAATATCTTGCCATTTTCAATACATCACATAAGGAAACAAACTGCTGAGCTAATTATAGGTATACACGCTGTACACGCACTCCTAAAGACTGACACTTTGTTTATTCTAGGAATTTTTAGATATTTCTAGGAATAAAGATCGCGGCTGCTTTAAACTAAGTCCGTCAACCGCCACGCAGTACAGAACGATTAGGATTTTATGATCCGTTTCCTACACAACATACTAAGCAAATTGACGGTTTTATTAAAAACGCCAGTGACATAAAATCACATAACTGTGCGTCACTGGATTGGGATTTACCCCTAGGAGAGCATCGAGGGCCTTAAATAAAAATGTGTAGAATTTTGTAGTATTTTTGTTAACGCCAAAATCTTTTATTCGCGCACAAGTGTAATCAGTGCTTGTAAGTTGCCTCTGGCTGGCTCATGGCATAGAGGAAAACGCCTACCTGTTGATCCGTCTGCTAACCCGTCCGACCCATCATCACCTCATCTTCGTTCTCATCAGAACTATCTTTATCTGAAACGCTCAGAAACTTTTTCGTTAACCCCAATACGTGTCCTCCATCCTAGCCTTCAAATACCTCTCTTAATCGTGGAGGAGCGAGAGCATGGAGAAGAATTCCAACCTGGCGATCCGCCTGCTCATCCTCCATCGTAGCCTTCAAATCCCTATCTTAATCTCAATACCCATGTGTCTCTGTGGTGTCTGGCCGCAGGCGAGAGCGTGGAGGAGAACGCCAACCTGGTGATCCGCCTGCTCATCCGCCGGCCCGAGTGCCTGGGGCCCGCGCTGCGCGGCGAGGGCGAGGGCCTGCTGCGCGCCATCATCGACGCCAACAAGATGTCGGAGCGCATCGCGGAGCGGCGCAAGCTGCTGGACGAGGCCGAGGGCACGACGGCGGCGCTGGGCTTCGAGCACCCGCTCCCCGAGGGCGAGGACGACGAGGACTACATCGACACGGGCTCCGCCATCCTCAACTTCTACTGCACGCTCGTCGACCTGCTGGGCCGCTGCGCCCCCGACTTCGCCGTCATCCTGCAGGTGCGCGCGCCAAGCAGCCAATGGCCGCTTTGGCATTTCAAACTCGTTCCGTTGGTGCACGGAAAAGTGAAGAAATATATTACCATAGTAGTTTATGCAATTAGTTTATATATACAAGTATTATATTGTCTCTCTGTCGCGATACCGCTGCACCAGCGACAAATAATGTTCGGAAAACATTATTCGTTACTGAGTACAAACCACTGAATTGGATCAAGTCAAAGGCTTTCTCTTCTTCTCTTTTTCTTCATATCTTTTTCCTCTTATTTTTATTCTTTTCTATATTACCATTTCTTTTTCTATTTTTCATCGTCTTCTTCTCATCTTTTCTTCTTTCTTTAGTAATTACAGAAAACCCAGAATTGGAATACGGCAAATGCGTTTTCTTTTTCATTTATCTTCTGTTTTTCTTCTATTTTGCATATTCTCTGTTTGTCCTTTCTCATTCCTTCCTATCTTTTTCATATTTTTATTATTTTTTTGTAAATTTTCTGTCTTCTTATTTTCTTCCTTTTTCTCGGTGTTCAGCTAAAATTAATGTTTGAATAATAATTGAAGGGGCTACTGTAACAGGAAAGGCTGCAACACATAAACGTAAAGCAGGTTGCCTGCACAACATCTGACAGGCGCCGGCGCTTGGCGGTGCTGAGCTAATGCGCGGCGGGCGTTGGGCGTTGCAGGGCAAGAACGAGTCGCTGCGCGCGCGCGCCATCTTGCGTTCGCTGGTGCCGCTGGAGGACCTGCAGGGCGTGCTGTCGCTGCGCTTCACGCTGATGCAGCCGGCGGCGGGCGAGGACCGGCCCAAGAGCGACATGCCGTCGGGCCTGCTGCCCATCAACAAGCAGAGCATCGTGCTGTTCCTGGAGCGCGTGTACGGCATCGAGACGCAGGAGCTCTTCTTCCGCCTGCTGGAGGAGGCCTTCCTGCCCGACCTGCGCGCCGCCACCATGCTCGGCCGGGTGAGCGCCCACGCCCGCCCACCCGCCCCTACTGCCAACAGCCCGCCTCGCCCCTACTAGCCACCATTTGCTCAACTTTATCTCTCATTCTCACTCACACTCTCACTCTCACACTCACTCTCGCACCCCTCTCACACTCCCTCTCACCACTCCCTCCACACCTCACTCTCACACTCACTCTCACACTCACTCTCACACTCACCTCTCACACTCACCTCTCACACCTCACTCTCACCACTCACTCTCACACTCAACTCTCACACTCACTCTCACACTCACTCTCACACTCACTCTCACACTCACTTCTCACACTCACTCTCACACTCACACTCACTCTCACACTCACTTCTCACACTCACCTCACACTCACTCTCACACTCCACTCTCACAACTCACTCTCACACTCCACTCTCACCACTCACTCTCACACTCACTCTCACACTCACTCTCACACTCACTCTCACACTCACTCTCACACTCACTCTCACACTCACTGTCACACTCACACTCACTTTCACTCTCACACTCACTCTCATTCCCATTATCATTCTGACTCATTCTCAGCCTTGTCACTAACCGCATTCATCGCAGGATTCTCCAATTCCTCCTCGTCACCACCTTCGACTACGTTCTCCTCAACTTCAATCTCATCTTCATCATCAATATCGTCAGCACCTTTGTCATCCAAATTACTCTCATCCCCATATTCATCAACAAACTCATCACTTTCGTCATTCATCTCTTCAATTTCAAATTCATCTTCATCAATCTCGTTCTGCGTTTACTTACCAGTTCAGTCTCCCCAGCCTCTAATTACTCTTTCTGAAGTAGTCCTAATGTTCCCTAGTTCTTCTATGAAGTGTTATATTGGCTAACTTGCTGTTGCGCCTGCGCGCCCCCAGAACGACGGGTACGAGTCGGACATGGCGCTGGCCATGAACCGCTACATCGGCAACGCCATCCTACCGCTGCTCATCAAGCACGCCAAGTTCTACAGCGACGCCGACGCCTGGGCGTCGCTGCTCGACGCCACGCTGCACACCGTGTACCGCCTCTCCAAGAACCGCATGCTCACCAAGGGCCAGCGCGAGTGCGTCTCCGACTTCCTCGTCGCCCTCACCAGGTGAGCCGCCCCTCACCCCACCGTCTTTCCTTCCACTACACACAGCACGCTGCAACGTTCGAGTAGCAATCCCAGCGTAATCTATGACACTGCTCGTTGAAAGTTATAACTGAATATAAAGTATAAAGTAACGTATAACGTATGGTACACGTTGTACGCCGTACCGTATAGTAAAGGTATAGTAAGTAAGAATAGTAAACGGCTCTTGTATCATTTTTAAAATCTTTTATTTAAACAAGACAACTTCAGTATAACCTTTCTTTATAGTTTTAGTGTCATATTGTTCATCTGCTCTTTACCCGAAGTGACGAAATAATCTCTCTTCTCAAGATTTTTTTTTTCCTCGATAACTTTACGGGTTGTCTAGCTTTGAAAGCTCAGCCTCTTCGAGCGGGTCAAAATGTCTCAAATTGTGTTATCTGATCTGTCACAAAAAAATAGATTATGTGACATACCTATCAGGTTGCAGCACTTAAGATGAAATAATTCTCTATCCAGTTTCCAACTAGTTTCAACAGCGTGTGAACAGGTGTGCTTTATGAATCTGTCTAGTTCATTGCTAAATCAACTTATTGCCCAATTGGCGACAGTGTATGAACCCATTAATGACAAAGGTTTTTATAGTTTCTTGCAACAGCCTATAACATGTTTCAATATTATCGATTCTCACCATTAAGCTTGCTCGTTTTTAGAGATAAAAATTTTAGAAAATTGTATTGAAGAAATTTGAACTCATCAATATATTACGGACGAATAGTGAAAAGTCGTCACTACTAAAATGTTACAGTGTCAAATATTATTGTATAATATTGAATTTATATTAATATATTATAGTTTCAAAATAAACGTTTTATCCCAGAATATAAAATTAAACAACTTAAAATATGACATTAAAAATATTGTGAAACAATTTTCGCAGCAGGACGTAATGAGACTAAATAAATTTAGAATTAAAATTGCCACGAAGAAATTTCATGTGGATCTCCGGTTGCCTTTGCTTGCAGCCAGATGCAGCCCAGCATGTTGCTGAAGCTGCTGCGCAAGCTCACAGTGGACGTGTCCAAGCTCACGGAGTACACCACCGTCGCCCTCAGAGTAAGCACTCGTTTAAGTAAGCCCTCAGAGTAAGCCAATTTCTGCTCGTAAGGCTCAAAACGAAAAGTCTTTCGGAAGTGTCCGAAAATATTAACCTTAGCAATTCCCATGAGTAGAAGGTTACGTGCACACCGGTGGGCATTCGAAGCCCATGGCTAAAATTTTAAATCTGTGGAAGTATTATATAATTTTGCGAAATTAATACACTGACTCATCAATTAATATAAATGCATCTTCGTTTAAACGAAAACATGTTTTATTATCGTGTTCTACAATTGTATCAGCAAGAGGAGAAAGGGAACAAGTCAAAAATGCAATTTTTTTCTTATGATAGAAAGTTGTTCGTTAAGGCAAGGCAAATTGTACGGTGAAGAAGGTAATCACGTCATAACAGTGTTTAGACTAGTTAGCGAATTCACACAGAAAAATTGGACAGAGTAACACAACATGTGCATTATTTAATTTTTTGCTTCCTTCTAAAAAATGGCTAGAAATGACTTGTTCCCCTTCCCCCAGGCAGAAGAAACCTTTCACAAAAATATTTGAATTTAATGTTAATGACAAAATCTATATATCCGATAATAAAATAATAAATTTTTCGACTTTTTCACGAAGACTAAAATCAAAATTTGTGCTTCAGAGTCATTTTAATTACCATGTAAATTGTGTCCCAAAAATGGTGTATTCCCATCGGTTTCTTGCGATAGTTATTAAAATCTAAACAGATGGCTCACTCTATTTTTATTCATTTTCATATACTTTTAAAATTTGTTCCATCACATTTTACGACAATTTTGTTGTAATTGCATTTGCATTTATATTGCAATTATATTGCAATTGCATTTATATACACGATAATTAGAATAAAATTAACATTCATTTCCACTCTCTCTAAGCATCCAAATGTCTATATCTTTGTGATAAATTCAGAGCCCCACTGTAAAGTGCTTAATCGTCGTGTTACCATAAATGCTCCCGAGGTTACGATCAGACGTTACCCCGGGGCACTTCTTGACAAAGCGCATTTACCACATCATTATCATTAATCCAAACATCACAAGCGGCCTCTTATTTGTTTTAAAAAAATAAGTATATAAGCTAAACGTAAGCAGTGTGGTGGGGCAGGGTGTGAAGCGGATGTTGTGTGTGTTCCGCAGCTGCTGATGCTACACTACGAGCGCTGCGCCAAGTACTACGGCGCGTCGTCGGGCCTCGTGTCGTCCAGCGACGAGGAGAAGCGTCTCACCATGATGCTCTTCTCCAACATCTTCGACTCCCTCTCCAAGATGGTGAGTCGCTTTGCTCACGCCTTATTTCACGTGGCGAGGGTTCGGTGCATGGGGTATGCTATATGGTGATGTAGGCGTTGCCATACTGGTGGAACACTTTCACTTAAAATGTAGTCGTCTATAGATAAAAGTTGATTTTGAACTTTTAATGTAACGATAGCACTCATGACTTTGAATAAATCGAAATATGAAAGTATCGATCCAAAGTGAAAGTTATGAGGAAACGAACAATCTTTTAAGCAATATTGAAACTGAAAAATTTTAACTTTAAAATTTGCATGCCAGAAAATTAATGAAATTCGCGTATTTACTATTTCAAATCATAATTTATTTCTCTAGTAATAAAATAAATATTTTGTAATACATATATAATGAATTACCAATAGCTGTTTAATGCTTTTTCTGTAAATATATAACATTCAGCTTGTTAACTAATAAAAATCCAGTATTTCATGTATAATAAACAGGCGAAAATATGAAGGAATTCAGATACATTATTTGATGTAATAAACGTGTTATAAATACAATAAAGATAAACCGAATGATTCAAACAAATTATATTAATACGTTTTCAAAGAAAGCTGAATATTTTTAACTGTTTAATTGTGGTTTTCTATATGTTCGCTGCCCAATAAATATTTATTTACTTTATCGTTGTAAGTAGTTTCCTACAAAAATCACCACTGAAAATAAATACGCCTCTCACATTACTTAAATTCATAATAATTTTAAATTTAGAACGAAAAGTGCAACTAAACCAAAAGGATTCCACATGATTCACTCGAGAATACAAAAGGAAGAAATATAGGGAAATATAAAGAATGTATGTCTCCAAAAGGATTACTCATTTCAGACACATCCGTTCAACCCAAGAACCACAGAAACAGAATAGCGAAGAGTAGAATATCTTGTTAAAGTAGCTAGTGAATCTCATAATTCACGCTATAACGCCTCTTCAAGATTCTGGAACATGGAGGTTTATTTTTTGCTCGGACGCGGGTTTTGAGGGTGCGGCACTGACTTCAAGTTGGACGTTTGCCACATCTGTACTTTATCGTCAGTGTTTTCCGAGAAATGGAAGGGTGTGACTTAGCAGCGACTTCGCTGTTGAACTTTGAGGTTCTCGGAAAAGTACAGCTAATTTGAAAGCCCCGCAACAAGTCTCTCCCTCTCGAAGTTAAAGTTCGGACTTAAAAGTGAGAAGAATTCTTCCCGTGATAACAGAAAGAAATTCTCGATTGGGAAACGTCTTGGGATTTTCCAATTTAATGCCTTCTCTTTTAAATGTATCGATTCAGTGCTGCTCGGTTTTAATAATGTTAATAGAACTTTTGAAATATACCTAGTAAACGTTTTCTTTTGAGATATTGATTTATATTTTGCAACTTAACTGTAAGAAGCAAACGTATTATGTTATTTTACGACATGCGATATCATTAAGCCCTAATAACTGCTTTGCTATGTTTGTATTAAGCCGTAATAACTGTTTAGGGTATTGTAATACATGCTTAAAATTGATAAAGGTAAGTTACTGGTTGTTTCAAACTTTTGCGATATATAAATATTTTTCCAAATTGAATGTTAAAAGACATGAATTATAATGATGTTTTACGTTATCATTAAGCACTAATAACTGTTTTGCAAGACGTTTAGGTTATTCTATCACATACTTAATATCGATGAAGGTAAGTTAGTGGTTGTTCTAAAACAAAAGATTTGCCGGTTTTATTTCATTTTCAAAAGACGAAATAAAGAAATTATCACCTTTATTTTCTTTTCAGAACATTGCAAAATAAATCTATTTATTTAACATTAAAATATATGTGAAAAAATAGTTTTATGAAAATATCGTCGTTAAGGAACCTACCAGTGCATTTTAATTTTTAAATATAACACTAAGACTATTCTCCGTTACGATAATAATAGAGGAAACTTGATGGTTCAGTTATTAATATCTAATTAAGTTGCCCTTTTAAGACGGAATCTCGTTTCACTCTGCTTTATAGCGTGCTAATGCTTTCTCTCGCTGTGCGTATTCAGATTTATAATTATGCACAATTAGAAGATAATACCCAACCTGATTTTTTGGCTTCATTTTCGTACGTGTGCAGAATGTCTCAGAATAAATTTCACTAACTTCTAGAACACGCGAAGTGTCAACTTTTTGCCAAACAACATCCGGAGGGAAATCTCCTATAAGAAAGTTATACGTTCTGATGCGGTCAAAAAATTGCGTGTACCTGTCAAACACCAGAACAAAATGATTGTCTACCAAACAGGTAAAATTCTATGTGTGTTACTGATGATGTTCTATGAATTAACAATAAATTATTTTGAATATTTATACAACACGTAATGACAGTGATGATAAACATAGCCCAGATTCTGAGGACCTAAAAATTAGTTGAAAATTACTTAAAATATGAGGAAAATGACCTATAAAATGACTTCAAAATACGGGTAATATGCACGAATTTTTTAATAATTACTCAAAAATTTGTATGAATATGTTTATTCAATGAATTTTACAATTTTAAATAACATTTATTTATAATCGTATAAAAATAGATTTAATGTAAATCTTTATTTTAGGAGGAATTTTAATCCTTAGCTCCGATCTTCCAATCGTCAGTTTTGAAAGATCGTGGAAGTTATCGAAGATCCCTGTAATTTTGAGAGTTCGAAAAAAAATGTCCACTGCAGTACTATGAACTGACGATACAATGAAATATTGTTTTAGTTGTGTCATTATAAATTCAGGAAACATTCACCAACAAAAAAACAAAAAGGAAACAGAATGTGTAAAAATGACAAAAATGACTTAAAAGTAGAAAATGGCAAAAAATGACAAAAAATATCCAATAACTATACATTTATATGTGGTGATAAACATTAATTTACAAGTTAGCTACGCCTAGAATGCCCCAATGAAAAGGCGATATGCCATCTGGGGAGGGATAACAATCGCTCTCGTGCCTGCGCGCAGGACTACGACCCCGAGCTGTTCGGCAAGGCGCTGCCCTGCCTGACGGCCATCGGCTGCGCGCTGCCGCCCGACTACTCGCTCTCCAAGAACTACGACGACATGTGGGACGGCGCCAACGACTCGGCGGACCCCGACGGGCCGTACCAGCCCAAGCCCATCAACACCGGCACGTGAGTATCGGCCCGCCCCTCTGGACGCAGGAAGCCCGTGGACGGATTTGTTGGCGAAACAGGCCTGTGGTGGAATGCGGCAGAAGCGAGACGGGAAAACTCCGAGACAACTTTACGGGAAATTCTTTCGTTTGCCGCACGTTTCTCATGCAGTGGCCACGATTAAACATTGATACCCAGAGATCTGACCAGTGCAGCAAGGGCCATACTCTGATGAAAGAATGGATTTACCAAGATCCTATGTAAAAAATCTAACTTTTGTACTAGCTTATATTATACAAATTAATAATGCTTGACTATATGTTTTAAAAAACTTTTCAACAATCCATTATCAAGAAACATTCTATATATAACTACGTCTTAGCTTTGAATAGTTAAACTTGATTATCTCCAAATTATCCACGGATATATTATCGGATATTATATCTCCACGGATATTTCCAAATTAAATAGATTTTTGTTTGTTTTTTTAAATTCAAAATTGCGATGAATGCATACCCCTCGGTGAAGCGGAGCGAGCTGGGCGGGCAGGGCACGGCCAAGGCGAGCAGGGCTCAGCGGGACGGCGGGGGGAAGGGAGGGCGAGTGCAGGAGCGGTCAGAGTGGGTGGGGAGGGGGGAGGACGAAGCGAGGAGGGGGGCCAAAACAGGGCGGGGAAACGGAGCGAGGATACACATAAAGTTTCTTGCATTTTACACTATAAATAGGATTTATGACTGGTGTATGTTTGCGGGCACGTCAACTGCTGTAGTCATTATGTAGTTCCGTTAGTTTAGTGATTTTTTTATCCCGGGAGGTGGCGGTGTTCCTTTCGCTGGATGTGGATTAAGTGATCTTCACGCTGGCTTGTGCCTAGTTCTCTTTTCACGACTCCCCCCCCAGCAGAACACCACCCCATGCTGGACAAGGTCTAGCGTCCAACACGTGTCGTTGTGTTCTGCTTGTTAGTGTAAGTGTAAGGGGGATGATCGAGCAAGAAAGGGAAAGAAAAGATTGCGCGCTATCTGTGCCCCTTTTGTCAGAGTACTTCTGTGGTATTCGCCTGCAATTGATTTTTTTAAAAACACGGGAAACTGCCGATCAGAGAAGCTGGTCGACATTATTGTCCTCCAGACAATGGTTGAAGCCGACGTAGCTACCTCGCTGTCCGCCACCGACGGGATCTCGTAGGATCTCCTAGTCAGGGTCGCTGCAGAGAGAATGGCAATGCTGTCTCTGAGCTAAACTCAACCTGCCTATAGCCATAATTCATTTCATTATCAGTCCCTTTCCAAAACGGAACGGATAAATAAATACCACGACTACGTCAGGTTTCTTCCCATCGTGTGTATATTATAAATGTGAAGGTTAAAAAATCGTCCATGAGATTTGGTCGTGGATTTCTTGCGTATAACCAAACGCTCCCTGTGCAGCGTGGTGCTGACCAACGATATGAACAACATCGTGCAGAAGTTCTCCGAGCACTACCACGACGCGTGGGCCAGCCGCAAGCTGGAAAGCGGCTGGACGTACGGCGAGCAGTGGTCCGACTCCAACAAGACGCACCCGCGCCTCAAGCCCTACAGTATGCTCAACGACTACGTGAGTCGCCTCAACAATTTGCATTTAGTTTACTCCCTCAAGTATTTGTATTTAGCTTGCTCCCTCAAATATTTGTATTTAGCTTACCTCCTCAAGT